AAGCCGCTAACCTCGTATTTTTCTACCCCACTTCCGCCACTAATAACATCTATTCATCACACGCACCTCTTCATAAACTTTCCAATATTCGTATATACATCTCGTTCTCCCCCCCTCCTCCCCGTTTCATTCTTGTTTTTGCGCCAATAAGGGCAAATAACCGCCTCTCCCTCTCCAACGTAAAAGAAGAAAGGGAGGAGGGGGGGGGGGAGAAGGGGGAAACTGAACATCTGAATTCATCTGTGATGCATTTCTCACTATTCTTCCTTCGAATACTTGCGATCTTTTTCGATCACTTTCGTTTCACTCGTCGCTGCGGGTTCTGGGGAAGGAACGGAGATAATAAAAATCTGTGAAACGTGCACTTTCTTTCTTCTTTCGAATGTGCACGAACGTGTAATGTAAAAAAAAAAAAAAGAAAAGAAAAGAGAAGAAAAAAAATGGATACGAAAAGAATTCGAAAATCTCGGTTGATGGAACGAGATGATGCTTATTCCGGAGGAGCAGGGGGATGGGAGGAGGGGGGGGGGAGGAGAGAGGAAGCGAGGGGAAGCGGCTCGTGTGCTTTCGTGTGTGGTTTTTTGAGTGCTCCCGAAATATCCTGGTGCCGGGAGCACGAGGGAAGATAAAGAGAGAGGAAAGAGAGGGAGAGAGTGCGTTAGAGAGCCGTAGAAGAGAGAGATGAGATGGGAATGCCAGTCTTCGGTAACTAGTCATCCTAGCAACGTGCCTTCGCCGAGTTCTTGCTGCCGGTGTGACAAAAGGTCGGCCAAAGAGGAGGAAAGATCGGTTGCGTGTTATATACAGTGAGATTCTCCTCTCGTGTCCCTTCGACGATATTTCAATCGTCGTACGGCCACGTTTCTTTCCGTTCGAAGAGAAAATGATATGGTGTGGAACTGGATAATGAGAGAGGACGGAAAAGCACCGATTCCAAGGACTTGGATCTAAAGGCTTGGAAAGTTTCGATCTTCGTTCGCCGCGATTGAACGTCGTGGATAAATGGACGATTTCTCGGAGCAGGGAATTTAAAGGTAGTAGCTCGAATCGATTTTGGAATTAGAGAAACTGGCCGATCTGGCTTCGATATCGTCGTTGGCGTGTAATAAATATTCCGGCTGCGAGGGGTCGAGGAAGATTAGGGAGCCCGGCGCGAGTCGATGAAAACACGATTGAAAATGCCCCTGAAAATCGAAAGTGGCACCTACACGGTGAACCCCGTAGCAAAGAAGAACGTCTCCAAGTTCCTGCTTTGGAAACACTGGCGTAGGAGGTATGACGATGCTGCTTTTTTTCCGTATCGTGACGTTGTTGTGATTGATCAAGCTTGGCATACGATCGATTTCACGCGATCGGTATCTCGCGTTGGATACTCTTCAGTAGTTGCGACTATAAGGTTTCCATT